CCAGCTCCCTGTGGGAGGTGAGGGGCACAGCCAGAGTGGACTCAGGAGCTGCCTGCCCTTGTCCCCTCCACAGAGCCCTGCAGATGAAGACCCCTGGGGTGTCACCTATGCTGAGGTGTCACACTCTAGACAGGGGCAAGGAGGAATGTCACCTTTGTCACCTGAGTCAGGGCCATTCCTGGTCATGAAGGACACAGCAGAGGGAGAGGATAGCCTGCAGGAATGCCAGGTGGGTCTTGTCCCCTCCAGGCCCCAGTCTCCCCAGCCAGCAGCCTCACCTGTCACCACTCTGCCCTCACTCCAGGTGGCTGCATCTGAATCCTCCCAATTTGTGACCTACGCCCAGCTGAAGGACCTCAACCTCAGAGAGGGGACAGCCACTGCTCCTTCCTCCCAGGGACTGGAGCGTCCAGCTGAGTCCAGTGTCTACGCCACCCTGGCCATCCACTAGCCCAGGACACCACTCAGATCCCACCCTGCAAGACAGGGACACGGGGACCTCAGCAGGCACTAGACAGCCCATGGACACACAGCTAGGAGTCGCGGCCAGCCTGGGGCTGACATGCAGGGCCAGGAGCATCTGAGACCTGCTGGAAGTCACCTGATTCCCAGCACAATAACTGGTACCAGTCCATGTGCCACATTTAGACACTTCATTCTCTAAATAACCAAAGGGCAAGAGGGAAAAATCACAAGCCAAATGTGCCAATATGTGATGGGAAAACTACCAAAGTCATGATGGGCAAGAAACAAAGCACCTTTAGATCAAAAAAACTTTCAATAAAATTTAAGGACAGGACAGTGCCTGGGTTCTCACGCTCTGTCCCTGAGAGTGTAGGTGAGCTCAGCCGAGGGGACTCAGTGTGCAGCTCCTCACCCTCCCGCTGCCCCACCCCGCAGAACACAAAGGTCTGCGTTCACATGGCCACGTGCACCATGTGTGCAAGCACTTTGCACACGAGCAAAGTTATGGAGCAACCCTGGGTGTCCATCTACAGACGAATGGAACAGAACACTATGGAGTATGTACAGCGCGGGTTACTCACCATATAAACATGACATCATGCCATTTGCAGGAAAGTGGATGCATGGGAAGAGCATCACATTAAGTGATAAAAGACTCAGAAAAACAAGTGCATGTTCTCACTCAGATTAGGAAGGTAGAGGGGAAAAGGGGGGAAAAATTACATCAAAAATGACTAAGGGAGGTGCACGCCTCTGTGATCCCAGAGGCCCAGGAAGATGGCAGTTCAAAGTCAGCCTCCGCCACTTAGTGAGGCCCTAGCGACTTAGCAAGACCCTGTGTCTGAATAAAAACTGAAAAGTGCTGGGGAGGTGGCTCAGTGGTGAAGTACCTGGGTTCAGTTCCTGTTACCACACTAACCTACACATAGACACCCCCACACACATACACACGCACTCCCTAGAGCAAGGGAGCCCCGTGAGGTGGGGGACAGGATGGGGAACGGGGGAGAAGGGGGCGGTCGTGGTCAGTGAAACCCAACCAGGGGTGTCCTGTGCATGTCCTGACCAACTCACCACACTGCACACCTGATAGGCACCCAGGTACAGAAAGAAAAGGAGGATGGGGAAATCAATGAGTTAAGTTGGCACCACCCAACAGAGCCAGGGAGTCTTTGAGAAAGGCAGAAAGAAGGAATAAGAATCATATCAAACAATGATAATTTGGGGAAATACCTAAACAACCTAAAGGTATAAAATTGGCCCTCGAAGCCCCAGTGAACCGCAGGTCCCTTACAACAGGGGCCAAGGGCACCACAACACGCAGGGAACACGGAGCAGCACCCTTCCAGCGGCTCAGGGCGCCCAGGGCCAGGCTGCAGCCAGGACCCACCTGACATGTTGCAGCAGGGAGAGGACAGACGGACCTCAGCCGGGACCTCAGCAGGGACCTCAGC